ATGTTGCTGCTGATGTGTTTCATGTTGCTGCTGATCTGTTTCATGTTGCTGCTGATCTGTTTCATGTTGCTGCTGATCTGTTTCATGTTGCTGCTGATCTGTTTCATGTTGCTGTGTTCATTTGTGCTAATCTGTTCACACAGACTCATGTTCATGTTTGTGCTGATGTTCAATGTTTTATGTTATTAGTGATTAGTGTATATTTAGTTGATGTTTTTCTTAGTTCATATCTTAGATCTTATTACTGGTTTTTTTTTTTTACATTTTATAGTTGGATGTAACTGGGACCCTGTTAGGTATTTTCTCTCGTACACAACAGAAAAAAAAGAACACCACACAGGACAGAGTAAGGTTTTTGGCCAATGTTCCTTGCAAGGAGGGAAATCCACCTTTGGTCTGGACCCAGAGGTGGACTCCAAAGCCTTGCTGTTAGAACTGGCTTTTATTTGGTGAGAGTGACACGTAAGTGTTTGGCTTGGAACACTCTTTGATCAGAACAAAACATCTTGTACAGGTTCAGTTGATTAAATGCTTATTGTAATGAGTTTCTGACACCATCTGTATCAGTTGAAGGCTGAGGAGAAAAACAATGACACCGCTGGAATACTAGTTGATACGTTTTGACGTTTGGTTTTTAACAAACAGTTCTAAGTAAAAACAGCTTATGAAAATACAGAGAATTACTATCAGCTCGGATGTGGACTCATAGTACCAGAAACGTTTTGCTTTGTATGCACAGAAGTACAGGAGTCGTGAAGCAGTTTAAAGAGATAACAAATGAAAAACTCTTACAGAGCCTGTGAACATCATTTTGTTCCACCACATGTACCACATGGGGTGCGAATGACAATAAAGAATCTGACTGACTTTCTGAAATAGCTAAATCAGTTGCATTACTGTATAAAGGAAAAGAGTTGTTGACTGACAAAGCTGTGTATATATTGTATAAAGTAATGACTGTTCCATATTTAATCTGTTGTATTGAAGTTTGGGGGAAATCATACAAAACAATTACAAATCCTATTTTTATTTTACAAAAAAGAGCTATAAGAATTTTTAGTAGGAGGTGCTGTGGTCACCAACAAATATATTATTTCATCAGTTGAAATTATTAAAATGTTATGATTTGGTTGAATCTAGTATTTTACAAGTCATGTATAAAGCTCATAAAATATTAGCCCAAATATTCAATTAAAATGTGTTAAAAAAGAGAGTGATTATAACCTGAAGGGAATGGGAATGTTTGTAAAACCTCCAGTTAGAACTGGTGTGAAGGAGCTGTGTTGTAGTTCAGGAACAGGGTTTTAGATTTGTCTCGATATCACCATAAACATTTATAAAACAACGTGTATGTTTCAAAAGATGATTAAGTGAAAGTTGTTAGTAAAGTGTGATACCATGTGAAGAATGCCTGATGATTTGTGTTTTTCATTTGGGGATCGTTCAAGTGAGGGCAGCACGGTGGTGCAACTGGTAGAGCTGCTGCCTCTCAGCGAGCAGGTCCCTGGTTCAAATCCCGGTCCAGGGGCCTTTCTGGGTGGAGTTTGCATGTTCTCTCCGTGCATGCGTGGGTTTTCTCCGAGTACTCCGGTTTCCTCCCACAGACCAAAAACATGCATGTTAGGCTGATTGGTAACTCTAAATTGTCCCTAGGGGTGAGAGAGAGAGTGAATGGTTGTTTGTCTCGTTTGTCTCTATGTGTCCCTGTGATGGACTGGAGACCTGTCCAGGGTGTCCCCGCCCCTCGCACAGTGATTGCTGGACATGGGCACCAGCGACCCCCGTGACCCAAAGTGGAATAAGCGGGTAAAGAAAATGGATGGATGGATGGATATATATATATATATATATATTTTTTTTTTTTTATTTAAAAAAAATTTTTTGACATACAAACAAATTATCCCAGGAAAACAGACAGACCGCCTCAGCTGGGTGAGTGGACAGGCTGGGATTTCCAGGTAGGTGAAGGTCCAGGAGGACAACTGTGAAACTAAACATCTCTGAACATGTATGTGTTTTCAGGTTAGATGACATCATTGCTGTAAACATGACCTCCATTGATGACATCATCACACCGATGACTACTGAGGTAAATTAACCAATTCTGGTTAATAATTACAGTAGTTCCTCGTTTATTAAGGATGTTAGGTTCCAGCCCCCCCGTGATATGTGAAAAACCGTGAAGTAAGAACGCTGTGTTTATTTTAGTATTTATACACATTTTAAGGCTTTAGAAACCCTTTTCACACTCTTGCAGTGTTGTAAACTCTTACACCTACAGTACGTCATTTTAACAACATGCGCTCTCTACTCTATTGTATATGTAAAGTTGCTACTGAATTTTACTTTCCAGCTCTGCAGAACACCAACAGCACTTGGTTCCGCTCAGTTCTGGTCTGACTCTGTTTGCTCCGAACCAATTAAGTTTCTGCAGACCTAACCCATAATCAAAGCCCATAATCAATCTTTTAAACTCTTACACCTACTAATTTTAACAACATACGTATATGTAGCTACTAAATTTTACTTACCAGGCTCTAGAGAACAGGAGCGACTCAGTTCTGGTCCGACCCGAGAGATGAAAAAAGTCCAGGTGCAGCATGACTGAAGCCCACCGCCCCATCCAGGTTGATGTATGTGCACTGCTCCATTTGCAGAAAGCAGTGGCAGTGTTGACTTCTCGGAAGTGAACTGATGTCTTCTGGGTAATGTAGTTCTTTAGACTAAAAAAACAGTGAAGGCTTAATGAAAGAAAACTACAAAATTGCGGCTATTTATGTGCAGTACAATATTATGTACTGTACATCCACAAATTGTGATAGAGCGAGTCCATGAAAGACAGACCGTGAAGTAGCGAGGGACTACTGTATAACTTGGTTAATTATTGTGCACGGCTAGGCGTTTACTGATCTGTTTTTACATAGGTGTGTTCAGGTGTACTCAGGAGTTTCTTGTCTCCTGACAGGTCCCATTCTCCACTGAAGACTATGATTATAATTACAATGACAACTTCACAAGCCTGATGTGTGACCGGGAGTCGGTACGGGTCTTCAGAAGTCAGTATGAGCCGCCACTCTTCTGGATCATCACTATTGTGGGTGGAGTTGGAAACCTGGCAGTAGTGTGGATTTACTTGAATGTTCGAAAGCGACTGAAGACAATGACAGACATGTACCTGCTGAACCTGGCGGTGGCTGACCTGCTGTTCTTGGTCACACTGCCGCTGTGGGCAGCAGAGGCATCGTACAGCTGGATCTTTGGCCACACCCTCTGCAAGATAAATTCAGCCCTCTACAAAGTGAACCTGTTTAGTAGCATGCTGCTCCTTACCTGCATCAGTGTGGACCGCTACATTGTCATTGTACAGAGCACCAAAGCCCAAAACTCCCAGATGGAGAGGCGCCGTTGTAGCCGTTTGGTTTGTGCAGCGGTGTGGTTAGTTGCACTGTTGCTTGCCACACCTGAGCTAGTGTTCTCTATGCCCACCAGCGTGGAATCAAAGTATTACTGCAGAATGGTGTTCCCCGCTTACCTTGGGAACCGTGCCAAAATACTGGTGCTGTCACTGCAAGTGAGCATGGGCTTCTTCCTGCCCTTCATTGTCATGGCCTACTGCTACAGTGTCATTGGCTTCACATTGCTCAACACCCGCAACTTCGAGAAGCACAAAGCCATGCGTGTCATCCTGGCCGTGGTGGTGGCGTTTGTTGTGTCACAACTGCCCTACAACAGCATGTTAGTGATGGAGACGGCGCAGGCCTTCAACCTGACTGAAACAGACTGCGAGAAAGTGAAGGCCATGGACAAGATGGAGCAGGTACTGAAGAGTGTGGCATATATGCACGCCTGCCTCAATCCCTTCCTCTACGTGTTTGTGGGTGTGCGCTTCCACCGTGATTTGAAGCAGCTGCTGCACTGCTGCTACTGCCTGCCACTGCCCAGCAAAGGTTCCCTGGGGAAGACCAGGAGTCCTCTGAACTCCACCAGAGTCTCAGTGATGTCTGACAGTGACAATTCCCAGGCATTGTCTCTGTAAGGATGAAGCTACACAACTTTCTGTTTGTGCTGCTGTGGCTGCAATGTCACAAGATGAGTGACAAAATCTGAAAGCAAGAAGAGTTGCACGCTCTGTTTCTGAAGGTGCATGCTGCTTTGGTCCAACAGTTGAATCTTGGGTTTAATTCTGAGCCACAAGTTCTTCAAACAAACAAGTTTACATCTGGAAACCCCAACCCTCATCTCTGTAAGTTCCTCAGTCTCTCCAAAAAATATTCAGTAGCTCCTTTATCTCAGAACTCAAGGTTCCAATATTCAGCAGATTCCACGTGTCGGACACAGTTCAGTCCCCATCTGTGATGAGAACGTTAAGATTCTGTGCTGCACAGCCAGGTGAGCCACTTGCCTCACCTGGAAGTGTATAGTGACCTTTTCTGTCTGTCCATCAAAACTGAAACAAGCTTCAAATCTAACAGTTTCACCCAGAATCCAATTCCAGGTTTCACTCAGGACTTCTCAGGACACTTCCAGAACTTGTCGAGGATGTTCTCAAGATATCAGAGTTTCTTCTTTACAACTTTTTACATGTTTTAGTTTTTACTTCTCAGGACTTTCTGCACAGTTAATGTGAAGCTTTTTGTATACTAAGAAAACTTGCGATTTTTAGCTGCTGTTGATATTGGTCATGTGACCTCTGACTGGGATCACATGACACACAGACCGTTTATCTGAGCCAAAGGTTGTTCTGTGTGAAGAATGTTTTAATGCTGATTGTTTTCTATGAAATACCTCCAACACTGCTAACACTTGTTAGCAGAGGCTAACACATGCTAACAGAGGCTAACACATGCTAACAGAGGCTAACACGCGTTAACAGAGGCTAACACATGCTAACAGAGGCTAACACATGCTAACAGAGGCTAACACATGTTAGCAGAGGTTAATACAGGAAGTCAGTCCCAGCAGTTCTTCCTATGATTTTATCCTCAAATGGTGTCCCCATTGAGTTTGTTGATTCCTATAAATATTTGGGTATCTTGGTCGACTCACATCTTTCTTTTAAGCTCCATGTGGAAAACTTGGTAAAGAAACTGAAAGTTAAACTGGGTTTCTTTTTCAGAAACAGATCCTGTCTAACTCTGAATGTTAGGAAACACCTTGTATCTGTGACTTTCCTTCCCTCCATTGATTACAGTGACATTATTTACATGAACGCTCCTACAAGAACCTGCAGATGTTGGATGCTGCAGATGTTGGATGCTGCAGATGTTGGATACTGTCTATCATGGTGCACTAAGATTCATAACTGGCTGTAACTACCGTACCCACCACTGCACCCAGTATTCACTGGTTAACTGGTCACCATTAACTTCACACAGACTCTCCCACTGGTACATTTTCATCTTTAAATCACTTCCTGGTCTGCTGCCTTCATACATCTCCTCCTACATGTCTCTGTGTGAGTGCAGCTACAGCGTGCGCTCTCAGGACATCATTACCTGCAGTGTTCCCTCAGTGAGGACTGAACTAGACAAAAGGACCTTCTCCTACTCCGCTCCTGTTTCAGAGTCAGAGTCAGAGTTTCTTTATTGTCATTCGCACCTCATGTGGTACATGTGGTGGAGCGAAATTATGTACACCTGGATTATGTTTCCTGGAATATCTTGTAAAAAGATCTGAAGCTCTCTAAGTGGCTTCAAACATCTGATAAGTTCCTGCAGACATGTTCCTGTTTTTAATTTTCTACATCGCCTTATAATCCAGCTGTTTTATTCACTGTTTTATTCACCTTTTAATTATTCTGTTTTCAATTGTAAAAAAAATCTGTATGCCTCTTTTATGATTGTCTGTTGTCGCTGTTGTCCATTGTTGTCATCATTCTTTGTTAAATCAGGTCTCTCTTGTAAATGAGTTCTCGAGGCTCAATGGGATTTACCTGTAGAAATAAAGGTCGAATGAATAATGGAGGCTAGCAGAAGCTAACACATGCTAACAGTTGAAGGTGAAGGCTAACAGACCTCGGGATATTGATGCTATACAGATTTTCCTGTCTGTGTTCTTTATTTGACTGAATGTTTCTGTGTAAAAGTAATAAAATGTTTTGATGAAACGTGTTCGGTTTCTGTGAGCAGGAACTCGATCAGTCAGACAGTTTCTTCACATCCTTCCTGTCTTCGTCCTGTTTGTGTTTTCATGCTGATCTTTGCTCGTCATCAATAGTATCAACGCTCCTGACTGAAACAACTGAGTCAAAGTGCAGAAAGAGGAAGTTCAGTTGACTCAAAATGACGCCTGGAGTTCACCTGTCTACACAAACTGATGTTTGCCATTCAGATTTACTCAAATCTGTATGCGAACAAGGAACCGGTGGAAGCAATAAGATGATGAGGTGTTGGTTTTTATCACTGTGGTTCGACAGATAAAAAAAGTTCTTCTCTAACAGTTCAGTTCCAGTTAAAGAGGCAAACTTTCATTTAGACTTGAATAAATTAAGAGTCCAGACCTACCGACACACAAACACATGACAAATACAATGAATACAATAAACACAGGAAACACACAAGAGGAAGATGACCTCAGATCTGCAGGTTTACTGTCGCTGCAAGGAAAATGTGACAAAAAGAGAATTGAGACAAGAAAAGCCACAAGGACGGAGAAAACAACGTCTTCCTGACTGAGGACAGGGAGAGCTGTTGACGTCTGAAGACAGAACCCCAACCAGGAGACTGAGGGGGTCCAAACAGGACCAAAGACGAGATCACCTGACTAGACCAGGGCTATGACATCACTGAGGGGGGACCCCACAGAGCGTAGAACCATGTTTCTTTGTTCTAGTTCCTATGGTTCCTGAACTTTTAGCCCCCGACCCACAAACTGACAGCAGCAGAAACTTTAACAAATGTTGAAAAGCTTTACGATGATTCATGAACAGTTGTGACATCACAAAGACTGAAAACATCTCTACAGAACTCAGAAGGGTCAGAACCACTGGTTCTACTCAGACAACAGATGGGTCAAAACAGCTGGTTTTAGATTTACATGGAAAATGTGTCATGGAGCGTGAGATTGAAGATGGAGTGGTGCAGCGTCTGCAATATTGTGGACTCTGTACTGGTCCATTGTGGTGAAGAGGGAGCTGAGCTGTAAGACAAAGCTCTCTGTTTACCAGTCGGTCAACGTTCTTACCCTCACTTCTGGTCATGGATAGTGACTGAAAGAATGAAATTGTGGATATAGGAGGTTGAAATGAGTTTTCTCTGCAGGGTAGCTGGACTCTCCCTTAGAGACAGGGTGAGAAGTTCAGTTATCAGGAGAGACTCAGAGTAGAACCACTGCTCCTCCACACCCAGCCAGTTGAGGTGGTTCGGGAATCTGGTAAGAATGCTCCCTGGGCGTCTCCCTAGGGAGGTACTTCAAGCATGTCCAACTGGGAGGAGACCCCGGGGAAGACCCAGGACATGCTGGAGAGACTATGTATCTCTGTTGGCCTGGGAACACCTTGGGGTAATCCCAGAAAAACTGGAAGAGGCTGTGGAAAGACATGTCTGGGCCTCCCTGCTCAAGCTGCTGCCACTACAACCTGATTTTGGAGCAAGTGGAAGATAATGGATGGATGGAAAACATGTGTACCTTTAGGAAAATCCAAAAGCTACCACCTTCCAACATCAGTAGAGAGGAGAGAGATGCACTCAGCACTCTCAGCAAGGACCAGAACTTCATCATTCTCCCAGCAGACAAAGGAAGGTGCACAGTGATTTTGAAC